GCCCGCTACGGCTGGTGCACAGAAACACCTGGGCTGCACCACCTGCCTTTCCTAAAATGGCCTATTTCAGGAGAGGGAGCGTGATGAGAAAAGAAAAGCAGAAGATCTCTTTCCCTCACCGTTCTCTGTCCAACCTACCATTAATTGTGCAGGGGCTGAACTGACCTCTCGATTTAAATGAGTTTGACGTGTCTTCTCTGGTTGCTGTGTAGGATGTATGAGGTCACCTTTTGTTTTTAAAGGCTATACAGGGAGCTTTTGTCTTCAGATTGCAGTTTATGTGGTGTGGGTAGAGGTTTTTCAGCTAACAAGGGAGTTTAGATCAGTTTGGAGTTTGTAAAAGCAGAATCTGAAACCACTTACAAGCATTTGGAGGGAGTTCCCGTAAACAAAAAAAAAAAAAAGAAGGCACAATATGCCCTAATTGCTTTTGCAGTGGAAGTAGTACAGAATCCTGTCAATGAGAGATGAAGAGAAGCTGGTTTACAAACCACCTGACTGAAATAACCTGCAATGAAATAAATCAGGTGATCAAATTAGATTAAATTACCACTTGGAATATCAATGGTTTTAGACAGAAAATACAGGAACAATGTGCACAATGAGGTAAACTTGTATGGTAAACGTCTTAACAGCATGGATTTATGGCAACGTTATCTTCCTTTAAATAAAAAGGAGGTAAAAATGTAAACAGGAAGATCTTGTTTCTGTGTTCTCACAGGTGCAAGCCAAGAGCGAGTCCTGAAGAATTTGCTCTCATACAGCAAATCAGCAGCCAGATCAAAGAGAGGCAAAATGTTTTCTTTGACATGGAAGCCTACTTGCCAAAGAAGAATGGGTACGTTCTTTGTCAGAACAGGCGTGTGATCTAAGAAAGCTGATTTTTAAATACTCACAGTGGTGGTGTTCCCGAAGGATAATGTGTGTATTGAAGAATTACATGTAAAACTGGACTAATCATAAATCTCTTGCTGAGTTGCTGTGTCAGTTGCACATAAATTCACTAGCTAGAAGTGTATGTAAATGTACTATGTGTAGGCACAGACAGGTTTTCTTGTTAAAAGAAAATCTGCATTGGTGAGAGATCACGCAATTAAGTGTTTCACACTATGATGCTTTCCTGTGCTAATTTTTTAAAGACTAAATCAGCACAAGAAATTTCTGTCTCCTTTCTTTTAAATAGTGCATTCAGCTGACTTCAAATTTGCACTTTGCTTCAAGTCAGGTTGCTAGAACAGGTTTCTTTCAGTTGTCAAGTGCCGTACATCACTGGGAATTGGGAGACGATGATGCCACTTGCTGAGTAAACTGGGCCAAGCGACTTGATTTTTACCCTTGGTTTGTTTGTTTTCCCCTTCCTATCCTAACACGTGCTCAAGTCAGCATTTTCAATGTCCATGGTGAGCGGAGCTCTTTGGGTGGAAACGCTCTGGAGTGGGGAAGTGACGTAAGATAAACTAGCGGGTATGAGGGACTATGGCGTTGTGGCCGGTTCACTGCTCTGGTCCGTGAGGGGTCGAGTGAGAAGGAAAGGTGGAGCAGAAGGGAGGGCTGGCCACGAGCCGGGCAGCCATAACTGCTAATGCGGAGGTTTGATGCTCAGCATATTCGCACGAGCTCTCCCGTGCAGCACCCAGTAGACGCATGCTGTAGCAGCTGAAACGTCTTCTCCACGTGGGCCTGTGGGCTGCCACTTGCAGGTGGAGCTGTCTGTTGGAGACTTTTCCTCCTGCTTCTACGTTTTATTTTTTTCTACTTGTTTTTCTTTTTTCTTTTTCTTTTCTCTCTCTGTACACGCTCTGCTTCTCACCCTTAGACCAAAGCACAGAAGAGAGACCAAGAAAAGAAAAAGAAGCTCTCTAACTTCTTGGAAATGCTGACCAAAACATAGTGCAAGGGAGCACAGGCTGAAGACAGCCCTGGTGGAGGAGTTTGTGGAGAGCCTTCTGCCTTTAAACTCTCTTCTGTAGTTTGCATCGCTAGTGTGCTTTAATTAAAAGCCTCGAGCAAAATGTGGCTTAGTCAAAAATGCCAGTCTCTCCAAAACTAATCTGTCTTGTTCTGTTGCATTCAAATAAAATGGACTTAGGTGGGTCTCTTGTTTTTTGTCTTCCAGTTTGTACTTAAATCTGGTGTTGGGAAACGTGAACGTAACTCTTCTAAGTAACCAAGCAAAGTGAGTGAGTGTTTTTTCTAGTGGTGTTCTAGGCATACAGGGCTCAAGAAAATGGAGATTTTCATATAAATTCAGGAAATAAAAAGAGCTGCTACTTCTTAACCCAGAAACCAGCTCTTACAGACTCACACTGTAAGATAATTCTATGGCTTAATGGCTATGCAGCCCAGACTCTGCAGGAAAAACGCTGCCTTTCACCCCCATCAGCTGGTTTTCTGAGTGCTGTTAAGCAAAAGCTCTCCCTGGGACTGGCAAGCCTGAGTGTGTTATGCAGAAATGTGCTAGCCATCAGGATCCCTGAACGGCATGCACACGCTCTCCCTTGTTCCTGTTTTTCCTTTGGTTAAATTTCCAGTGCAGTTAGTTCAGCCCAAATCCTCCTGTTCGGCAGGGCCCTTGCTCCTGCAGTGTGCAAAGGCTGTATTTCTATTCTGTTGCACCCGTTCCTTGGTGAGAGAGAGGAGGAGGCACCAGAGGTGAAGGCTGGGGTCCTGGGACAAGGCTGCACAGATGGGAACTCGGAGAGCGCAGGGTGTGCAGGGCTGCAGGAGGGCTGTTATGTGGGTTATGAGGATATGTTATGTGGATTTGTATCTGATTTGAAAGAAGGAAAGCCACATCCCAGTAAAACATTCCATACAAAGCATGAGTTTTCCTGTACTGTAATTGTTTCATTCCAGGTTTGCCTACAAAGATGAATATGAAAAGTTCAAACTTTATCTGACAATAATCTTGTTACTCGGGGCTGTGGCCTGCAGGTTTATCCTGCACTACAGGTAAGCCTCCACTTTTACTTGTAACCAAATTTTTTGAATAAAAACGTACTTGATCTGAACTAAGTCTTCTCTTTGGTTAAAGACTGAGACTTGGGCAATATTTAGGCTTTGACTAGTTATACTACACTAGCAGGAGAGCTTCTCTGCCTGTTTTTCAGTGCAGGCTAGCCCTGCATTTTAGCTACTTGCTTTTTCTTATTTGCGATTAATATTTTGGGAGTCTGTTGTTACAACTAAGAAAAGTTTGACATTTTATTTCCTGATCTGTTTTGGTTTTTGTGGTGTTTCGGTGTACTTGGGAATGAGCAATTGGTTTTGGTCTCCAGTTGTCTGATAGTCCTCGAAAGGAATCATCACCATGCTGCAGACCTGGAGCCGCAAACACCCAGCAAGAACGTTTGGATCAAATGGTCAGATCTGAAACGTTAGGTCACAGTAACATATCTGAGCACCAACAAGCTTCCACTATTAAGTTTTGTTTAAGAAACAACAAAGTCTTGAAGCCTGACCCTTTTTTCAGGGTCTCTGTGGGTCTGGCATGAATGCAGGATTGTACCACGGAAATACCTTGCTGTATAAAAAGGCTGCCCAGAATCCCCTTGGCTGCAGGGACCTGCAAACGGAAGAATAAAGGCTTCCCGCCCCCCA